CCGGGAGCAGCCCCTCCAGCACGGGCAGCGCGGGCACCCCCGCCCACCACCACCATCACCTCCACCACCACAAGACCGGAGATAGCAAGGCCGGGGCCATGCGGAGGTCTATGGATGACCTGTCCGCGCCCCTTCACCACCGGAGCATTCCCAACGGCCTCAACGGTGAGTCCCTGCCCCCCATGCCCCCTGCCCCTCTGGCCCGGTGCCATCTCCCCTGGCATGTCCAGTCCCCCTGGGTGGTGGGGTGAGGGACTCCCTGGGAGAAGGGTCCTTGCCATTCCCACCTCTGCCCATCCTTGGTGACCTCTTCGGCAGAGCAGCCCCGGGGCCAGGGAGGGGGATCTGTGTGTGTGTGGTGATGCCCCTTGACTGTGTTATCAATGACCAGGACTAAGGGTTGGAGCCTCTTTTATCTGCAGGATTGGTGCTTTGTTTTGCTTGTTTGTTTCTGTTTTGTTTGGTTTGGGTGTTTGTGGGTCTTGTTTTGACAAAAACCAGCCTGAGATTTCAGGGTTAAATAAACACCGATTTTGTCTTCCTCTTTCCTCTCTCTCCCCCTTTAAATATTTTGGTTTAGGTTTGACTTGTTTGTTTGCTAGTTTGGTAAGATTGATAAAGAGCCTGGGATGAGATTTTGGAAGCACCTGATGAAAGTGTAGGTCTGTCCCACAGAGCATCGCCTGTTAACTCTGCAGGCTCTCAGGGTAGGCTGTGGTGTGCTCAGCAGTTTTGGAGGGGTGCAACTCAGCTTTCCCCCGGCTCTGCTTCAGAAAGAGGTGGTTTGTTTGCAGAGAAGAGATTGCTCTCGAAGGGACGCTGTGCTCACAATTTTGTTCAGGCTAGTCATTAAAGTTAGAAATGAGCTCCACAGTGAAATCGTGCCAAGCCTCCTCTGGCAGTTTGTATTCGAGCAAAGTTTCTCCTGTTGTCTAACAGTGATCAGGTATTAAAGTAATAATAATGGAATGTCTTTAAAAATGGAGATTATTTTTCTTTTCTTTTGAAACCAGCAAGACCAAATACTTGACTTCTAGAAGAAGCAGTTTGGCCAAGAGTGTTCAGTAAGAATCAAACCAGGCACCAGTCTAATAAATTGTTGTATATAAGACTCCTTTTAATGTTCTTAATCCTATTTTCCAACCAGAGAGGACTATTTTCTGGTTGGGATGCTCTTTTCCCTCCAAGCACAGAGAGAGGGGGATGGAATCCCAGAGATTGGCTCTGATTGATGTCAGCAGTGGATGTGTTTACCAGATAGCCATGCTTTCAGCTCCTTGAGCTTTTGGTGGTCCTTTTCTTTTGTGATTTATGGCAAGTCTTTATATCCCAAGAGATCTGCGGGTGTGTAGGATTGATCAAGTCGGTTCACAAGTACTGTGTTCATCCATGAATTTGCTGTTTTCAGTCCTGTTGCCACAGCTGTGTGTGTCTCAAGTCACAGCTAGAGACATTCTGGCCACCTTGCCCTGTGGTCTGGGATTGCTGGTTTCAAGGGTGATCCAGTCACCAGATGGTGCAGGGTACAGCAAGCATCTTTAAATGTTTAGTGTGGGATTTTTTTAGTCTCTCTGTTCTAGTGCTGTGTAAATCAGAAGTATCTGGTTTGTAAATCTGCAGATAGCTTCTGCTCCTGATGTGACTTGACTTTATTTTCATGAAGCTTTGCTCTCCACAGAGGCCCAGAGAGCAAATGGTAGATACTGGATGTACCAGTACTGTTTTGGGACAGAAGGGCTTAGCAGTTCTGGTTTGTGAACCTTAAGCTGTGTCCCTTTTAGGTATCAACAGCTGACTAGGACAAAGCCAGTTGAATTCGTCTGTTAATCCAGGGCTCTTGAGTATGTATACAAGACATCACCGCGGTCCGTTAAACCCGATGTGAAGCACTGTGGGATGCTTCACCTGGGATTCAAGTCATCCCTTGTCTGCACAAAGAGGAAAGTCTCTGCTTGCAGAGTCCAGTCGTCAGTGCCCTCCTCTGATGCTGTGTGTGGGAGTGTGCCCAGCAGCAGCGTTTGGAGGGGACTGAGAGCCGAGTGTCTTGTCCTACCCTGTGTAGGGTAAGCGTAGGGAAGGGTGGCAGAGCATCTGCACGTGCACCGTGCATGCCTTTGCATGCTTTCTCATCTCTCGTATCGGAATGAGGACTCGGTGCTCGGGCATTCCATCCATGACCTTAGGTTTCAGTGCCTTTGGTTCTGCGGTGCCTGTGGAAGGTGGCGTGGTCTCTTTGGGAAGTACCGAAACTCTTCGCTGCGAACCTGCGCGGCTTCATTTCTGAGGGTGGGACAGATACGATCAGCACTTCTAAAGCTAATAATCCTTGTAAAGATGCAGGCAAGCCTGATCTCTCCACTTAGGTAGTGAAGCTGTAAAATGACTTGAATAGTTGTCATTCTCAGATAGCATCGGTATTCAGCGAGGCCATTTCCCTGACTATGCCTTTGGAAATGCCTCTCAATACATATGCAAATGCGGGGCTTATCAGGCCCCTTTTTGACTGGCAGCAAGAAATCTGGGAGGGGGGGCTTGCCTGAGACCCAGCGACAATTCCGTTAAGCCTGTGACAATGTGAATGTGGAGGAGCAGGGCTGAACGTGACAAACAACCCCAGTGAGTCAGGTGGGTGGTGGAACTTTCTCGCAGCAGCCCCACAGTGAGCATCCTGCCGTGTCTCCCGGTCCTGTCCCTAGATCTCAGCCTTCTTGTACTTTTTCCCTGGTGATTTTTTTTCCTTCCTCAGGGATAAAACAGAAGGAAGGCAGGGGAAAGGGAGTGGCCTTTTAAGTTGCAAACTTCAGTTTGGTTTGCTCTTGTCTCATGTCTTTAAAGCACTGGAGAGCCAAAGCAAAGAGTGCCCGGCCAGCTCAGCTAATGCCAAAATGTACCTCAGGGAGAGGAGGTGGATCCGAAAAGAATGCAGGGCAAAATTTGGCATCTCTAGTAAGAACACGATATAAACCTTGGACAGCTGGTTGGAGCAAGGTTGCTGCTTGAGCTGCTTGCTTGATCACTTTTGCTTATGGAAAAGCTGGAAAGTCCAGAACTGTGCTACCCTCCCTAGTGGTATCAATTGAGCTTCACTTGTTTAGTGCTTTTCTGAAAGGAGTCAGGAGTATGGTGGCTATTAAAACACTCCTAGCTAGGTAGTTTTTAGTGAAATCTTAGCGAGCAAAGGTGGGTTAAATGTTTCTCATTTTCTCTTCACCAATCCTGTGGAAGTGAGTTGTGAACCAGAGCTTGATTTATTGGCCCCAGTGACTCACCCCAGTGTGAGGTGATGAACTCTAGATTTGTAAAGTGAATTCAGTATAAATGGTATAAGTGTAAAAAGCAAAACAAACCAAACCTGTGATCCACCTTTGCTTCAATTTTCTGAAGTCTATTTACTTTTATAAATTGGCTTTTGGAAGCTGGTGATTAATTATTCACTCGTGGAAGATAAGATAATAAGTATAACATAGTGTGAAAACGGCTAATATTAGACGACACATGTAATCTTGTGCAGCTCTGGATATTCTCCTGAGAGCCAAGAGGAAGTCTGCTTGGTGTGAGAGTAAGAGGTACATCCATTCTCTGTGTGCTCTGTGACCTGGGCTGTGGGACAGGGACATCTCCAAGCTACATGACAGGAACTGGCCAGTTGCATCTGTATTGACATGTCACAGTTCTTCTAAAACCGAGGCACAGTCACTGTGTGTGCCTGTGAGTGCTTTGGCTTTCCTTTGTGTGCATGGTGTGAATCTCTGTGTGCATACATAGTCTTTCTTCTCATCCAGCTTTGTGCATCCCTGTTAGAGTGACTGCTCATTCCTGCCAGAATTAGGTCTCAAAACACAGAATGTAAAAAAAAATAAAAATATGGCAGCCACATTGGGTGATACTAACATGACCTGGGGGAAGAAAAAAGCCTTCAGGTACCATAGGATATATCCCTGGACTGTGAAGTATGTGGGAACATTGGGAGGAGTGACTCAAAGCTCCCTGAGGCCAGGGCCAGGGCTTCCACTGGTTTTAGCCTTATCTAGATCTGACTGGGACAACTGTTTATCCATCTGCAAGCCTGGAGGCAAACAGACTAGCTAGTGTTGTGCCTGGGACAAAATCCTGTGCACACAGGGGAAGCTTTCAGGCTTTAGTTTTGTTTTCTGCCCATCCAGCTGAGTGTTGCCGTTAGAACTTCACCTTCCACTGAAACTCTATGCATTCCCAAAATGGATTGGATGGTTTCTAGTGTCTCTGACTTTATTCCAGCTGGGTGAAATGAAAATGCTCTCTTTTTTTTTGTCAGTTTTTTTTGTTGTTGTCTTGTTTTGTTTTTATAAATTAATAAAAACTGTTGGTATAGTGGAGATCTGTAGCAGCAGACATTAATCTATGGCCTCTTGCTGCTGTCTTCTTCAGTGAAAGAAGGATGGTCTCTCTGGCTGAGGGTGTGGGAAGATATCTGGTTCTATTGATTCCCACTTGTAAATGTCCACATACTTACCTAGAGGGTACAATATATTGCAGTTAAAATGATGGCAAAGAGAAATGTCTGTTCCCTGTGGGTTGGTATTGAACGGTCATGCAGGCACCCTGTACTTATTTCTCCTCTTCTTCACACACCCTTTAAGCCAAAATACTTTGGTTTTATTAGTGTATTTATAATCAATATACATATTATTTACTATGACATATTAATGAGGCCTTTGAGAAGAGAAGATGCAGGGGCAGAAGCAAAGGATGAGGTTCATGCCATTTAATTTGAGGTATCTCCATTATAGGCTTTAACATCTGCATTCCCTTGGGCTCCCTTTCTCGGCCATGTGGAGAAAGGCACTTTGGTGTCATAATTTATGTCAAGTGCGTCTGCTTTAAAGAGAGAAGAATTGTATGCTAGTTGTGCTCTTTCTGCTGATGAGAAGGAAGCCTGGTCAGCTTATTCATATGCAACCGTCTAAAGTCAGATGAAATCAATCAATCCTATTCCAGGTCTTGTGGTGAACATTGCACGCTCTTTGAGTGCAGCTGTGGTAGCTCTGGTGAAAGAGAGGAAACTGCCTTTCTCAGCAGCAGTCAGATGTCACCTTTGTACAGTCCCGACGCTGTGTGGGCACAGCAGTCTGGGTCAGAGAAAGTCCTGTTCTCTGTGATGGAGCCTCTCAGAGCTCAGTGGCTCC